CCCCCCCTCCCTCCCTCCCTCCCTCCCGTCCTCTACTTTGGTCTCCTCACATTGCCTGTCTTTCATCACTTCCGCGAACGTCACGGTCTCCCAGCTTTCCAGTCTGAAGCTTCTGTGCAACGACTTTTAGCGCTCCAACACGGCGACCCAAGGGGATGTCTCGCACTACATGTGGTCCGCCGAGCGACAGATCGACGGGCTGACGGCGAGGAATGCCCAGCTCGAGACAAACGTAGCTTGCTTGCAGGCGGACGTGAGTCAAAGTGATGGTAAGGGGGGGGGGGAACCCTGCGGTAGTTGACGTCTTGAGTTCTGGACGTTTGCCATGTGAGGGGTGCCCCGACGAAGGCTACCCTTTGCGATGCCATCCTCCCGCAGCCGAAACGCAACAAGCAAGAGTATTCAGTGCCAAAACGCACTATTTAGTGTATCTACCCCACTAACATGAGGATGTTTCCGCTGCACCGCTGTCTCGACGCTTGGCGACCTCAGGTCCAGACGTGCCACCGAATGCACGACCAGCTACAAACTGACCTCCTGTGCACGATCCGCGACGGCGAGACGACTCTGGGCAAGATCGATGCGGAGATATGTTCTCTGACCATGGTGCAAAATGAAATGAGTTGCGACGGGATGCCAAAAGAAGGGAAGTGGCTGCTGACGTCATTGTGTGCGCACGAGAATTCCTGGCAGGTTTCTCTGGTCGACGTTGTTGCAATGTTGCCACCGCGGCTTTCACGGTGAGGCCTTTGAGGTAAAAACCGCTCGACGCTAGCTAGCTGTCTGTAGGTGACAGCACCACCTCCGTTTCCATTGTGTTGCGCTCTGTGCCATGATGACAGGATAACGTGCTGCTCCGTAACGCCAACAACGCGAAGGACGGAGAGATTAAACGCCTTAAGGCTCAGCTCCTCCACTCCAAGGAAGGTCAGCGTACGTGTCAACGTGTTGCCGAGGTGTAGTTCGCAAGTTGGGGGGGACTCGCTTGCTGTGGGGAAGGGTTCCGACGAACGATCGATGTACGCACGTCAAATTGGACATCACAACCCGAGCCGAAGCGATGACTTACGACGTATCTTGTATCTGTGAAAGCGTGTGCTTTTAGACTAGGTTGGTCAACGCCTTCTTCGGACGGGCATGGTCATGCGGAAGATGTTGCAGCTCGTCCACTGCCAGCTCGTGCAGTGTATGCTTCCTGGTCGTACGTTGACAACAGTTTCAGGAACCTATGCCGAAACGTCAACGAGCCTGTGCATGAACCGTCAACGTTTCCGTGGAAAGTAGTACAATGAGCGAATGTGTATGTTGTAAGACAGGGTGTTCGGATCGATACGTCCCATGCCAGCCTCTGTGTCTCCAACGCGCAGCCGTGCCAACAATAACGTTCCCTCGTTTGCCATTTTCTTCCTATTTTGGCACAGTTGACGGCGCGCAGGACATCGCCGACCGCTCTATCGAGCCGCCCAGCCCCAGGTACGATACCACATTGTATGACCGTTGCTCTGTAGACTTGCCAGCAAACGGGTTCGGTCGTTTTGAAGTCCCCGTTGTCGGCATGAAGATCGTGGATGTTTGACGGCTGTGGCGACATTGTTTTCAGGATTCGTGTAGGGGTTTTGCTCCGAGCGCTTTTTGCACCAGGAGATATCACTGATGACTGCATATGAGGAAGGTGCGTTCTGCGATGCCTCGTTGACGGGTTGATTCGCTATCGCTTTTTTGCTGCGATAGATTGGTTGTCAAGACCATCCATTCGCAGAAGGATGGATTCTACATTTGAGCATACTAGCGGGGAAGACGGGGGCGAGGTATCGTATCACCTTCTTTCATCACACATTATCATCCGAAGAATGGAGCAGCAAGAGACCGTCGGCCTCCTTGTTTGTCCTCATGCTCCATGCTCATCCCCGCCTCCTTCCTCCAACTTTGCGGTGTCGCCCCCCCCACCGGCGCGCCCGCCAACTCAAACAGCTTGCACAGCAGGTGGGGAAGCGCGGATAACGTGGACGGGGCCTCGATTTTCCGGTCCGGCAACAACTTCGCCGCCTCCAAGACCCCCTACGGCAGGGAAGCACCCAACGTATCCGCCGCCATCACCGCCGCCGCTGCTGCCGGGACCTTCGTCTCCTCCAAGGCCTCCCGCCGCGCGACCGACAAGTTGGACACCAACGCCATCGCCACCAGCGCCGTTTCCGACGCTGACAGAGACGCTGCGGAGGCCTTGATGAGGAGAGCTGCCACCTCCGCTGGGTGAGGGTTGTTTTGTTGTTTCTCTCCCATCATTGGACTTCGTCGTCTGCCTCTCTGGCCCCCATCCTCCACGTCTACCAGCTAGACGACCCAACCGGGGTCACATAAGAAGGGGGGGTTGGACCCCCCTCCAGCGATTCCTGCCTGAGATATTTTTATCGCGAGAAGGGTACAGCAATCCCTTCCCTCGCGACTTACGACGTCGATCAAGTTTACTAACAACGAGCTTTGCAGCGCGTCGCTTCCAACGGAGACCAGGATTTCATTAGCGAGAAAAACTTACTCTGTCGGGACTCGAACCCATGACCTGGCCCTTAGCAGGCTGCGAGGCTACCCACTTGATATGTACACCGCGTACTATGGAGTGTGATGCCTGCAACGACATTGATATTCAGCCCTAGCTCTGGCTTTGCATTCTCCCTTCGATGTGGTCAGAGGTTGCACACGGATAGAGCAAGACACGAGCGTTTCTGGGTTCCTCACCCGTCCGTCAACAACGCGAAACCTTTTCCTAAAGAGTTTGAAAAGCTAGCCAAACACGCGTCCGCTCAAACTTGACGTGGATCATCTC